AGGGGGTCAGGCTAGATGATCTGTTCAGGTCCCTCCTGACCCTAGCTACTATGATACTATGAAGTAAATCCCCTCCCTGACCAGTTCACTCCAGCCTACTAGGGCTGGCCATGCCCCCCCAGCACACCTTCCCTGAAGCCAAGGATGCACTCTAGTGCAGTGTTTCCCAACCTTTTATGCCCCACGGCACACTTACCTAAATAAAAAAGCACCGTGGCACACCGGACACAGAGCGGGGAGGGGGCACATAGCCAGCCAGACACGGACCAGGAGGGGGAAATGCACAGCCATCCAGACACCAACAGTGGGGGCGTGGCGTGCAGCCAGCCAGACAGCGACATGTGGGTGACACACGGCCACCCAGATGGCATTTTGGGCTGGAGCTATGCTCAGTCTGTCCATGTCCACAGCAGCAGCAGGTGGGAGGGGAAATAGCTCTAGACAGGCAGGGGGCGTGGCTTCAGCCCCAAATGCTGCGGCACACCTGGACGTGCCTGACAGCACATGCCACATTACACCGCTTGGGAAACGCTGCTCTTGCGCCCTCCAGCTCATGCCCTGAGTGACTTCAGGCATGTGCCTGCATTTCCTCAATCCAGAGGGAATGTCTTTTCAGTCACAAACTGGTTCAATCTAGCCAGGTTAGACTAACCTGCAAAGATTGAATCAGTTCAGGCTCCAGGTTTTTGAATGTCTGCGTCTAGTCGAAATTCTGTTGCTGTCACCCTGTACCTGCTCTCCAGTCTTGCCCATGCAGTTCAACTATCCTAAGGGAGACGTCCCACACAAACTCTTTGCTGTCTAACTACCTTTCAATCTCTTTTTGCACCCTGCAAAAGTGACCATTAGAACAATTATTCTGAATGGGAGTGCTCTTTTGAAAAATAAAGATTGATTTTTTTTTAGATCACCTTGGCGTGCAAGTCATCTGTATTTCTGTCTGAATACATTAAATGACTATCTCTAAGCCAGGGTCCCATTAAACAACTGATTCTGGTTGACTGTCCTTGCTCTTTTTCCCCTAACATTTTACATTAGTCAAACTGACAGCAAAGTCTTCCTGACTCTTAAACTTTGAGGCTAAAAGAAACAATTATAATCAACTACTCTGATACCCTGAAAAAAATTTCCCTCAGTAATTTCTGCATGCATCAAGCTGATGGCTTCTGGCTGAACTAGAATATATCTTGTAAAAAGATGCTCAATCAGGATGTAAAAACTTCAGTGACCTTCCTCTCCCTTGTGCTACAACCTCTTTGAACTGCTGGTCCAAAGGAGGCACAACCATTTTATTCAGCTGGGGAATCCGCAGGAAGCAGAGCCAGCAAAGCAGTTCTGTATCACTTGCCTTGCCCCCCACTCCCATTATCTGAACGTGACCAAGCTAAATGGTGGATTACTGGAGTGTAGCTGTATTCCAGCCACCTCCAACTGCTGGGATGTCCCCTTTGGTTGCTCGAATTTACAAGGGCTGAATCAGCCACCAACATGAAGCAGAATCAATAGCACAAAGGTGGTGCATTCCCCCTTTGCTTTTGTATTGACCACAGTTCAATTTACCCTGAGGACTGAGACTCTCTTCTATGACCTCCCTGTAGATGAATTTGGAGAATGAGGATGGTTTGTAGGAGGAGGCCTTTGCGCATCAAGCCATCTTTTCATTTTAACCTCCTCTTCATAGTACCTATGTCTAGGAAGCTGGGTTCATACTGTTTTTTGTATTTGGGCAAAAGGCTGCTAACACTGGGTAACAGGCTTGTTTTTACTGGCCCAGCTCCCATGCACACACAGAGATGTCTAGCTCATCTTACCCAGGGCTTTAAACTCAAGTTACCTTACCTGGCATAGATGAAGCTCAGGCAAGGCTGCAGCTCATGGTAGTGGCAATTCAACTTTTCTGTGAGGACAACACAGGATGGCTAGTGCAAACACTCTACTTTTAATCCAGTCACACTTTGTAACTCAGGTGTTTGTTTTGCTGCATGACTACTTTTAGTTCTGCTTTCCTAAGTAGAGGGGAGTTAACTTCAGCACAGATAACTCAGGTTAATGCTGGAAACAGGACAATCCCAATTAAGACATAATTATTTTAACTATTATTCCTCTGCATACAGCAACCAAGAGGTTTAAAGATTTAAAGTTTGGATGCTTATCTAGCTAAGGTGATCTGACCCCAGCTGACTTCCTGCCCCTGGGCCAGGGGGCTGGACCTGATGATCCCGCGAGGTCCCTTCCAGCCCTAATGTCTATGAAAGTTAAATAAATTACAGAAACTATTTTTTATTGTTTTGGAAAAGCAAAAAGCAGTTGTTTCTTTTGGAAAAAAGGATTTCTAGCAAAAAGAACAATTGTGAATACTTGTAAAATACGTCTCATCTTGATGTATGAGACCCCCAACACCAGTTACTTCACTTTTTGGAAATAATCTACCATTTCAAGTGTCCATATCAATCTAAACACAACAGGGTCATTACAGTTTACTGTGCCATTATCCTTGGGTTATATCAGGGCCTGTGAAGACAGTCAATTTCACTGATTGAAATTTTGTCCCTTGCTTTAAAAATATCCAAAAATAAACAAATAAAAATGGAAAACCAAAGCTGAAAATCAGAATTGTATATACTCTAGTATCCCAAGCAAGACTATATTATACTGTTTACTGAGATTCTTACCGTTAGCTTTCCTCTCTCTGGGTGTTTCTTGCTGTGTATCTTTGGGACCAGAGCCCAAGAGAACCAATGGACAAAAATTTGAGCTGAGTTGGAGACTCATCCTACAAATTCACCAGAAGGACAAATGTTTTCACTCATGAAATACCACAGAAGTCAGTAGATGCCTCTGAAGGGCAGAGGTTCCATTTACCTCCAAATCAAATGATTTATAAAGCTTTGTTTTACCTTAACGAGACTGTTGCAATCCAAATTAAACACACAACATCCACTGCAATGTTTTTTTCCAACATGCAGAGAGCATCTTTAAAGAACTGTACATAAAAAGGCCTTTACTTATGTTACTAATAATCCACTCAATTATTAATGCCCCAATCCACAGTGGAGCAGGATCAAGGCACAAAATGGAAATAATTTCAAACAGCAAGTTTACTTTTTGCCACCTGGGTTATTACTTACTTTTGCATGTCGTTCAACTTGGAAAATTAAACTAAACTGATCAGTTGCAGATAGCAGAGCATCCGTTTCATTGTCCTGTTCGCCTGCACTTAACACAAACAAGCATCAGAGCATCCTGTTAAACACTACTGAAGATTTTTTTTAATCTACCCCCCACACACACTAGTCTATTTCCATTGCCCCTTTTTTAAAAAACTAATGAAACCATTAATATTTAATTGGGTGGCACCAATTAAAAAGGCTGATCAAAAGTAAGCATGAGAAACAAAAATGTTCTAGTTTCTTGAGGTAGTCTCATCAACATCACATTTCTGTACAGCAAAAGGAGCTAATCTACCTGAAGTGGTTCGAGTTTTGCACGCGACAGCGGTTTAATGATCTTTAGCCACCTAGTAACTACAATTTCAATATGCTGTATACCAGCAGTTCCCAATCTGTGGCATGCGTACCACCAGTGGTCTACAGACAACCTGACAGTGGTACATGTTAACAGATTTATTATAATTATTTTACATGACAAAAATTTGCTGGTGGTACTTAAGGTTGTAGCATTTTAAATTGGTGGTGCGCAATCTGTCAGTTTGGGAACTGCTGCTATATACCATAACTTAGTGGTTCTCAACCTTTTTAGAGCGCCCCTCCATATATTTTGTGAACAGCACCCTGTTGTAAAAGCTAACCTATTTATTACAGTGCTTTACCTCCTTGCCAAGGGGCTGGGCAGCAAGGCCAGGGGAACAGCCAGGCAGGCACTGTGCCTGATCCTGTGCTCATCTGTTTATCTCCTCACATCTACATCCTTCAAAGGATCCCTGGGTGTCCCTATGCCGTAAGTTGAGAATCACTGCCATAACCACCAATTCGCTGCCATCAATTCACAGCAGCCGAAGAACGAGTTCTCACACCCTGCTGTTCCAAAGGCGGAAACTCCTGTAGCTGCAGGACACGTAACTCAGCAAGCAATCCCGTGGACATCCAGTAGCAAACAACAATTCATTTACGGTACAAGCCAGTCTGTTCTTACAATAGCATACAAACTCCCGTAGCCAAAACTTCCCACGCTATATCAGCATTACAATATCCTGGTGCTTTATAAAAAGGTGGGAATCTAAGCTTCTTTTTTTTTTTAAATAACGTTGTGCTCTTAAGTGCTGCAGATAAACACCCGACATGATCAGCGCTCCCTAAAGACTCAGCAACCAAAGAACTACTAAAATAAATCCTGACTGCGTTCGTTGTTAAAAGTGTCATCGCTTTATGCTGCTCTGGGAACCCGACTCCTGAGTTTCGAATGGTTGAGCGGGGCCATTCAGAGCGGGGTTACTCAGTGCACTTCTGTTCGGCAGGGCACCGTCCGGTGTCCCCCGCTACGGAGCGGGCGGCTTTCCTTCACCCCAGTGTGTACAGCAGGAACAAGCCGTAGCCCACCGCAGGGATCTTCCCCTCCAGACCTATCGACCTGCTTCTCTCCAGCCAACTTGCCAGAGCTGCCATCCTCCCCAGCCGCTGCACAACACATCCCAAAGGCACCTGCCCTGGGCCAGGTGCTGCAGGCAGGACGCACCATGCGGCTCGGGGCAAGGATGGGCACCTTCAACCCGGGCGGCTGGGAGAGGCACAGGCTGGTGCCAGGGCCCAGTGGGGGATGGGGACAAGCCAAAGGGGCAAC